GAGGTCCGGGGTGGTGGGAAACAGGTCCTTGGCCTTCACTGGTGTGTCCTCGGGCCCCTGTTCCACCAATGACCATGAGCGCGTCGATGCCGCGCTATGCCTCCCCTTCCCTTTCGGTTTGGTCCCTGCGGCCGTCCTGTCCTGCGTCCGTGATGTCCACTGCTGGTGGCGGGAGCGGGTCCGCCCAGTCCGGGTGGTTCAAGTCCTCCCTGCGTTCCCTGCCTGGCCCGAGGTTCAGGTTGGGGACCTTCTGCGCTACCTGGCCCCAAATCTCCACAACAACGTTGCGCTTCTCCCGCACGTAGACGTCTGCTGTGCTCTCCGTGAGCCAGTTGCCTAAGTACATGCGGCGGTCTCGGGGGATCCCCATCTGGAAAGCGCAGTCCGGGATGAACACTCGGAATGAGTGCCACGTCCCGGGGTAACTCCCCGACGGAGAATAGCATCCTTGAGCCATCTCAGAGCCCTCTCCGGTGTGGAAGGTGCGGGATCAGCCCTGCAAAGTCTTTGCTCACTGTCGGGAGCAAGTAGTCCATGTCCTGGAATGCCTCCTCGGATACCAGTCGCCTGACCGAGGCCACCCAGGTAGTCCACTTCGGAGCAATCAAGGGGACCGGGTTGCGGTTGATTCGTGCTGCTGAGACCGTCTTGGTCTGCCAGGCCTTCAGCTCCACAGTGTTGCTGGTGTGGATAAGGTTTTTGGGGTGAACATGCTGGAGGTCATTGAAACGAGCGCTGCACCCAACCTGGAACCGGGCGAAACCCAGGATGAAAGCGTCCAGCACCTCGTGTCTGCTCCTCCCCGGGGCCGCCTGCGTACCGGGGCCGGTGGCACCCAGGTGATCGTAGCCAGCCCCTCCTCCAGAGCCCATATGACCTCTTTGCTGGGGACCACCGCCTTGCGCTGTGGCCGGGTGACCGTGTCCGTGAGCGCCTCTTCCAACGAGCTCTTCTTGGACTTGAGGCGATGGAGCTCGTCTATCTTCAGCAACCCGAAGGTCTTGGAAAACCATTTGAGGGTGTTCCACACCTGCCGTAGCTTGCACGGGGTGACCTCCTCTTCGGCGAGCTGGTTAAGGAGAGAGCGGACATGTCGTTGCTGCCATGGAATCACTGTGAAGCCTCTCTTCCGGAGACTCTCGTAGACCAGGCAATGTTGCCTGAGTGTCCGGAACCTACTGTCCCCCAGGAGGTCCAATGCCTCCTTGCGGAAGTCCTCCCCCAGGATGTCCTGCATGTATGCGATGTGCTCCGCAAACGGGGCAAAGTGGGCTAGGAGCCGTTCCGCCCATTTCCCGCGCATATGGAGTTCCAGCGCTCGCTGGGTCGTGGGCTCCATTTCCCTTATTTTGCCCGGGCGCCAGTGCCTCCACTTCAGAAGCTCCGGTTGTTGGAGTGGGGGTGGGTCATCTCGTGAGAACCACCTCAATTGGTCCTGGCGGTCCCATTCATTCTCCAGCGGGGAAAAGTTCTCGCTCGGCTTGCCATCCGCCGTCGCCATTAGGCTATCCCACAGGTCGGCCAGGTCCGCCGCGGACAGAGGCTGGGGAAGCCTGCCCGCCGCCGACGCCACCAGGCCGTTGAAGTAGTCCGTCGGGACCACTTGGTCGTCTTGTCCTACCGGAATGCCCGAGAGTTCCAGGAGCTGGGCGAAGCGGATTGCCGGCTCCCCGCCCAGCTTCCTCCCCTCCTCCGTGCCATGGCGCAGGCACATCAGGACCGTCCGTCTGTCTCGGGGAGAAGGACTCATCCGCCAATGTGTCCCAAAGGACCCTTGGAATGCGTTCCCAAAGACGTGTGTAAGGCGGGCGCAAAAGAAACTTGGTAGAAACCCTAGCCATGATGAAAAAGGGGGGTTCGAGCCTCCAATCGAACGGCCGGGACCCAACCGCGGCACAATGCATGCATGCTCCAAACGCGCAGAATGCCGAGTGCAGATGGAGCAGGCAGGCCACACGCATCCCGACAGGACCAAAAATCAACCACCAGAAATCCCCAAAAGCACGGAGGGGGGAGACCAACCCGGCGGGGGATTCCCCAAAACCCCAAGGGGACCTCAAGGAAACCAAGAGTCAGCCGCAGCCACTTTTTCCGAACCGTGGCTGATATGGCGGGCAGCCAATGCATGTGGCCTCCTGGTCGAGGCGATCAGGCTGTCGTGGCGTGTTGAACAGGGGGGAAACAATGGTGAAAGATGAACCCAAAAGGAAAACCCCTTACCCCTCCCCCCACCGGAGACGGGGCCAAAGGCACCCAAGTCCCGGCAAGAAGAGATCACACGACTCCCACATCCGAAAGGGCTGTGAGACAAAACCTAGCTGCTCCCTCCCTTCAGGATCGCCTCCTTTGCCACCGAGTGGATTGCCGCCAGCCCCGACTTCTCCGGGTTGCTCAGGATGACCGACCACAAGGCAGTGGAGACATCCCCCAGGCCATTCGAGGAGCTGAAGCGCATGCGGGGGGTGCTCGCGTCGCCCAGGACCAGCCGCTCATCCCTGGGAGGCTCCGTTGGCTCCACCCTCTTGTAGAACTCCATCCGGTCACGGTCCACTGATTGTACAGCTGCTCCGGGGGCTCGTCCATCACCAGCTGCAAGCATGTGGCCTTGTCTTTGTGCCACCCCGTGATCTGGAGCAGCCTGGTCCCCCCGCGGCTCGCCTTCCAGAAGCCCTTGCAAAATCTGCACATATAGCCCCCGGTGGTCTTGAACTTCTCCTTGCTCACCACTTCCCAGGCACTGATGCTTGGCAAGACCAAGCCACACTCCACGGGCTTGGCCTTGAACCGCTCCAGGTTGACCTTCCTGAGGGCACGGGCTCCCTCATTGGCCACCTCCTCTGACGGCAGGGCCTGCATGCCTTTCTGGAGAGGCGCCAGGATAGCCATCTCATTGTCCAGCATCTCCTCAGTGACCAACTCCTTGTGCCGCCGCCTGGCCGAGGCCTCCTCCAGTCGGTTCCCGATGCTCCCGCAAGGCCTTATGCAGCTCCTCCTTCTTCCGGATCGCCTGGTCCACCTGGGGGTGGTAGAGCCTCCGCCTCCTTCAGGGACCGCTGCACTTTGACCTTGATCTCCTGGCATTCCCGGACGCCTCGTCGTCCGCCTCCATGGACAGGATCTCCTGCCGGATGTCCACCCTCCTGTTAAGCGGGACCGCGTCTGCCATGGTGATCTCATCTGCCGTGTCCGTTTTCGGAGGGGCTCTCCCCAGGACCGTGCCGTCCACCAAGTTGCGGTCGGCCTGTGCCCGGGTACCACCGGGGCCAGCGGCACCCAGGCTTCCCCGTTCCCGCTGCTGGATCCAGGTCGGCTTGCCCTCCACGATGAGCAGGTTGTAGGTGATGCCGTCCGCCTCATAGGTGGGCGAGGGTGCCTGGAAGGGGACGAAATCCTTGCCTGGGCAGACCCAGCACTGCTTGGCTGCCTCTGGCCACCCCGTACCGCATGCCTTGCACATGAACTTGTAATCGGAATGGCCTGCATCGAGCCTATGCATTCGCTGGGTGCCAATGCACGCCTTGTTCCTCTGGAACTGCGAGGCCCAGACCTCCTCCTGCCGGATCTGGATCTTCATCGGGACATAAGCCTCCAGGATGCGAATCACCAGGTCCTCCATGAGATTCTTCCCGACAAACTTGTGGAACAGGGAGACCGCCTCCTCCACCGTGATGTCCCTCAGCAAAGTGGCCGCCGATGCTGGAAGGACTGGAAAAAGGTCTGGGAGGTCCACCAGCTTGAAATAACCGGGTCGGCCCTCAACCGGCACCAAGGAGACCGGTTTGTTAACCTGAGCCGTGGTCTTCTGGGAAGCCGCCACGAAACCCCTCAACCTCTTCGTGGGTGGCGTCTGTGCCTCCTCCGGTGGCGTGGCCCGCTAGGTGACGTCCGCGTCTTCCATGTCCTTGTCATCCTCCTCGGCGGGGCCAGGGGCACCCAAGCCGGAAGTCGGTGTGGCAAATGCCACACGGAGACGCTCCAGTGCACTGGAAAGGTCCTTCATCACATCAGTAGCCGAAGCCGACGGGGGGGCCTCGGGCTCGTCCAAAACCAAGCCGGCCGCCACTGCCGCCTCGCGTGTGCGAATTTCCTGGGCCTCCTGGCTGGCCATTTCAACCTCCTCCACGGTGAGTGTCTGGTCCTCAATCAGCTCAAAGGAGGTGGCCGAGGTTGCCGAGGAAGCCATTGCTTGATCGGGGTTAGGTTCGAAAGTGTCAAAGCTCAAATTTTTCAAACAGCTTGGGTTCCAGGAACCCAGACAATGCTTGAGCCAAAATGGCACATGCCATTGTGGTCAAGCATTCCAAACACAGTTCATGTTTCCACATGCGTTTCAACATTAACAAATTAAAGGACACTGGCACTGGGTTGGCAATCATGCATATACGTGCTATGGTCATGGCTCCGTCTCTCCAAATTTCCCGGGATGGCCATCAACCTCTGAAATTCGTGTTTGACCAACATTAGGTTTTGGCGCCAAGCGCTCAAACATAGGTGTCCTTTTGGGGCAAACAGATGGGTTTCCCTGGTAGATGATTCAACCACCAGGTAAACCAGGAATCGCCCTCTATTTTTCGAGCAAAACCACCAAAAAGGACACCTCTGGGCTCAAAGTTGTCTCACCCTTTTGGGCTCGGGTCCTGCGGGGGTCCGAGAGCTCCCCCCCTCCTTCGCTTGAGATCTCCGAGTTGCCGAGAATCATGCGGCGCACGGAAACCAAACTCCGGACACCCCATTTCCTCCCACATGATTCGTGTAATTTGGTCCTTACCCCACAACCTCCTTCAAATTAAGTCATTTAGCCATGGGTCAAAATCCAAATCGTACCCCCAGTGAACATCCCAATCCCCACAAAAATAGGTTCGAAAATGGGTGGTGCACCAACCCCAAACTGGTAACATTGGTATTGACCCACAGCCATTTGGCACACCGGCCATTTCTGGTCCGCCCAAAATTGTGTCCGAGCCGACAAGCACGGCTCGCGCGAGCGCTTCGGGTTTCGCCTCCTGCAGGTGGCCGTCATCCATGTACTTGAAGTGGTTCGCCTCTTCCTGGCTTGAAACGGGCTCCCAAGGTTTGGACCAACGCTGAAGGATTGGACCCCCAAGCAAAACACACATCCCAAAACCTTCGGGAACGTTGAGAAACACCCACAGTGAAAAACGGAAGGGGTTGCCACTGCCCAATGAAAATTCACAGCCATTTGAAACTCTGATCATGGAAGCGGACGATCGAGTAAGGTGAAGCCCACTCTCTTGCACAGATTTGAAAAGGCCCCAAACGTGCACTGCCACTGAAGCATTTGAAACCCAGGTCCGTCAGTAAGCAGGTAAGTCACTAACCTTCACCCCCCCCCCAAAAAAAAAAAAAGGAGATTGTTTTTTTCTTTAAAAACAAAAAATACAAACAATAAAAAAAGAAATAACAAGGCCATTGCTTCAAAGACATGGCAGAGCCCAACGAAAAAACCGCCGAGCTCCAGCGAAAACTGTCGGACTCCCAGCCGTCCCAGCCTTGAGCGCTTTCCTCAGCAGCTTCACGTCGCTGTTCACCACCGGGCTGTGTTGATCTTGGCACGGCGCTTGCGCAAGCGTTGCCCCGAGGAAAGTCGGGACCTCCGGGGGAATGATTGAACCAACCTCGTTTGGGATTCCCTTCCAAGGAAAGGACCAAGAGGGCGGAAAGGTGTGTGCTTGAACCAACCTCCTTTGGGGTTTCCTTCCAAGGAAAGGACAAGGGGGTTGGACCCATGAGAAAAGTCTTGAAAGAAACCTCCTTCGGGGTTCTCTTCCAGGGAAAGGACCACGGACGGAGTGCTTGAGCAATTCCCGGGAGCCATGCGCGCAAGCACACCAATTCCACGGCGTCCCTCGCCGGACTGTCCATTTCGGGCTGTGCTGAGTCCCCAGTTCAAAGGCTTCACAAGCCCCTTGAAACGCCATCTCTTTCTCGCCCGAAATGACTGAAGCCAGTCCAGGTTTGCATCTGGGAAAGGACCTAAAACCCACCACATGAACCACACCGGGGCTGCTGAGTCTTTTCAAGGGTCTCCGAGAGGCCTTCTGGGGATCTCCAGCTTCCGAGCCCGAAGAGAAATCGCAAGACAAGGTCTGCCATTTGCAAGACGCGGCCTGGCAAAGTTACTTGGAAGGCAAGTTGAAATGACCAAACTTCAGCGAAGGGATGGCATCATCTTGGTTGCTGTTGACCCCCTGCAAAAAGTTTAACTTTTTGGGGGTTGAGTGGAAAACACCTTTATTTCCCAAAAAGTTAAAGTCTAAAGATCCAACCCAATAGCAGTCAAGTCATGTCAGAAACAATGAGTTGCTTCATTTGCTGAGCGGCTTGGCCCCACAGAGCCACGGCTTGTCTGAAGGTATCGGCTTGTCTCACAATGTGCCACGCCCATATACCACATGGCGCTCCCAAGTGACCCAAGTCCAGCTTGGGGGCGGGTTCTTGGCCCATGCTTTTGGCTTCAAGTCGTTCCATTTGCCGAAGGTGCCATTGAGATCAATAGGCAAAAAAGAAATACAGAATCAAACAAATAAATAAAAGCGAGCGAAACAACAAACAAAAAGACTATGAACAAAGAAAAAAAGATAGGTTTGGGAAAAGACAGGAAGAAAGGAAGAAAGAAAAAGAAAAAAAAAAACAGAAACAAAGAAACCAATATACGGATAAAACATATGCGCAATGAATCTATAAATGAGAATAGGCAAATCGCATAAATCGGCAGATAGGTAGATCGGCTCATAGGTGGATAGGTAGATAGGCAGATAGGATGGATGCTCCGGCGTGATTGCCAAAACGGGAACACCAGATCCGGGGAAATCCGGTCGATTCGCTTGGGGCTGAGAGGTTCTCCTTGTCTCAACTGTTTTGCCCACAGAGCACAAGCTAGTGCCAGCAAGAGCCGTTTCTCACAGGTCACGCCAAATATATAGACATATATATATATATATTTGTATATATATATATATATATTAATGTTACTAAGAAGAAGAAGAAGAAGAAACAAGTGAAACCAAAAAAGAAAGCCGAAAGCAACTGGATTGTCCTCTGGGACCTCCGAGGTCATGGGCTTGGAAATAGTTCGAGGACCAAAAGCCCTTGACTCAAAAAAAAGGTTCTGAGCCGACGTCCCACAAAGCACCGCAAGCTGTGTTTTCTGTTCCAAGAGAACGCGTCACAGCCAGCTGTCATCTGTTTCAAGATAAAATCCGGAACCGCAAAGTTGTACGAATGCTCTCCAGAAGCCTGGCAGTGCCCAGAGACCCAAACCGAAAGTTGCTTGCTGCCAGTGACCCGGATGCAGCCGAAGCGCCCGTGACAAGTGAGTCATCCATGGCAAGCACCTTCCAAAAGCTTCTGGGGCTTCACGGTGTGTCAGGGTGGATAGTAACCATGATTATAACCTAGGACTTGCCAACATCGCATGTGCTGTTTCGTGTTTTAGGCTGACCAACTGGGTCCCTTGAAGTGGTACTAATCAGTACCCTGCCACTGTAAGTAGGGGAACACCGGAACCATGGGATCCACCGCAGAAACTCAGTTATACAGGTTGCAGAGTTGGGGGTAGTGAAAACTCCAAGCGGAATGAACGAATGACTGGGTCCAGAATTGACCTTGTCAGAATCGGCCACATGATGAGCTTGGACCACAAATTCACGCCTGAAACCAGCTTAGCTTGAAACCATCATTTTAGCTCATTTTAGGGCTTCCTGATTTTGATTTTGACACGCACACACACACACTCATATCATGCCATGCACAAGCGACCAGTCTTCGGCAAAAGGCATGCGGCACGAACTCACGGATGGTCACTATTGGTCACTGACGGTCACTATCATGCAAGGGCTCCTCTTGCTATTAGTATATTAGTCTTTAAAATCGGCGCGCCTTGTTTGATGCTTAGGGAAACCAAATGGACCACCGTTTAAAGGGAGTCCTTAAATTTGGAGAAACCGCCTGCGAGAATCGAATCGGGTCATGATTCGACGCCGGCGAACCGGGGAACGGGCGGAAGAAGAAAAAAAAAGAAACGCCGCCTGTTGGACCCCGAGGCCAAGAAGAGATCCAGCTTTTTCCCACTTGGGGCGTGTTTTTTTCGGATCGGAAGATTCCAACGTCTGGCGCTTCCGTCGCCTTGAAGCTCGCAAAATCCACGCTGAAGTGCTCCGTCTGGCGCGCAACGGGCGGTTGGCGGTTGGCCCCGTGGCTGACGGCTGGGGCCAGGCCTCCGACTCCAGCCCCCGGAAAAAGACGTAGAAATTGCCGCGCTATTTGTAACAGCGGGTAAAACGAGCACACCATGGGCAAAGATCCTTTACTTGGGGACTCCTTATTTGGTAGAATTAGCAGGCACATGTAAGCCACGATTGTTTAAACAACCTCCCTTTGATGTCCCTTTCAAGGGCCGGTGCACGTACGTCATGTTTTTCAGCCCGTCAAGCTGTCGGCAACTTGTCAGCGTCCGCCGGCCAAGCATGAGCATGTGACGTGGTCAAGCTGCCTTTTCGGCGCTGCGAAGACTCACACGCCACATATCAAGCACGCACACTGTTATGGCAATCACTTCAAACGGCATTCTTTCGAACTTGAGCACCTAGCTATGCCAGTTGATCGCAAAAGGGTTGCTGTTTCCATCCGATCTCCAAACCCTTGGGGCTGGGAACAGAAAAAAGAAATCTTGAGCTGACTGTCCAGGGTTTACTCCGGTCTTCTTGGAATCCAACCCGTTCTTGCTAATACAAAACATACCTCCGTCAAAACCACTGCTTGTCGTGGTTTTTTGAGGCCTTTGCGACTCCTGGGATGCCTTCGAGGGCGATCTCTGCGCTTTCCGCATGCTCATCTTGACGTGTCTTCGAAACGACGCTGACCTTCTGGCACGACGCTGGGATTGCTCGGGGAGCTTTCCGCGCCGCGAGGCTTGCGAACTGAGCCCCGTGAAAATCAGGGCTCCGAAGGCTTCGCAAGACTGCCGTCTCCAAGCCTACAGCGCAACCAGACACAATACCTCTCAAGCGAGCCAGCAAAACCCAGCCAGCAAAAGCCAGCCAACCAACCAGACCAAGGGTGCCCGGCCTTGCCCGAAAGCAAGCGCACTTCCCAAAAAGCAAACCAGACAAACAAGAGGCGACTCGAAGAGTGGCGCGATCCCATTGTTGTGCACGTGAGAAACCCAATGCGAGCTTACATGGGAGATGCACTCAGCAGAACCACATCAGACCACCACCAATATTCTCACTGGACAATATGGCGCAAGGAACGCATATTTGTCCAGTGGTTCCCAAAATGCGCATGCCTTTCTGGTGGGCTGTTAAGGATAAGCTGTAGGGGCCTTTCACTCCCCACAATCTTGGCATCCGTCAAACCCTGTCATAGCCCCCAGCCCCCTCTGACCCATGGCCTGTCCAGGGGTCTTCACGAATTTCCTGGCGGAATGTCACACGCATAGGTGTCCTTTTAGGGGAAATAGATGGATTTCCCTGGCCTGGTAGATGATTAAACCACCAGGTAAACCAAAGCCATCTACTTTTCTAGCAAAACAACCAAAAAGGACACCTATGGTCACAGGGCAACTCCTGCTCACGAGGGATGATTGGGTCATTCCGAAGCCGGGAATTCAGGGCAAGGAACGGGCTGCAAAGTGCGGCAAGCCGCCCTTTTTGCACCCTGCTGTCAGGAGACTCAGTTGCCCAAAGGATCCAGAAACAAAAGGTTAACCTCTTGGGACCTTTACTAAAAATAGACCAAACTAGGAAAACCAAAAGGTTAAAAGGTCGGGTTTGGGCCACTGAGGAGAACATGGTTTCTCAACTCAACTCTGCCTTGTTATGTCTCTGGAGGGCGATCCGACAGGCTTCCGCGGACGGAACACAGCCCAAGCCTGTTCGTCTTGAAGTTCTGTTCAGAACCGATCTTCCCTTTTCGGAATGGGAGCGTCAACATTCTCCGACATCTTTGCAGTGCATCGCGCTTGTAGAAGCTGTTATTGCGAATGTGCAGCGTTGCCTGTGTTGCCACCCGAATCCCGATACAATGCCGCAGACGTTGCCGTCACCCAACAGTCAAGGCAGCTGGGAAATAATTATCGCTGATCTGAAATTGCCTCATCCATGTTGGCACTCCATGATGTTTGGCATTTCAAAGACTCAAATACTACCTGTGGCTCTCCAAACTCGCATTAATGAGCCTTGGTAGGACCGCTTGTGGGGGGTGCATTTGGCTTCGCGCTGTCAGGCCCGTGGACTCCAAAACGATCCCTTTCTCAAAGTCAAGTCCCACATGGACCCCGATGATTGCGCAGCTTTCCACCGGGTGGATGAAGTGGCCAAGGCGGTCAAATGACCTCCGAAGTCATTGCGAGGCTAAGAAATTCAAGGTAAAGCACCACCTCTTGTGAAGAAAAGAAGGGAACCGGCTTTCCACGTAGATGAACTCTGCCTGCCACATCCACGCACAGCCCCGCTCACATGAAAAGTCGAAGCCAAAAAAAGTAGGAGCGACAATCGTCATTGAAGGCTTGTGCCAAGCCTACGTGTCTTGCCCACGGACCATTACTTTCCTTCCAATTTCTGATTGTGCAGCAACAGGACCAGGCAAACTAAGATACTCCTCGGTTCCAGAAAAGAGGTCCGTGCCAACCGATCAGCGAGCCCACAGAAGGCCTCGAAAAGGGGCTTCCGGAAGCGAAAAACGGCAGACAGCGCCGAAAAGCGTGCAACATGGCCGTAAAAGGCAAGAATTGTGGATGAATCTCAACTAGGGACCCTTTGGATGTCATTTACATACAGATTTCAGCCATGTCCACAACTTGTGACGGGCGGTTCCTGTGTTTCATCAAAAACTACTTGCCAAAAACGCATCGACCGGGCCTCACCAAGTGCCCGGCAGGCGTCGAGGCGTTCCTCGCCAGAGCCCTGCACGAGCATGGGACCCAGGAACATGGAACCCGTCACGGGCGTTTCGGTTCAGAATCTGTATACCGAAAGCCGGAAGATGAACAGATTCTCATAAACTGGACAAAAGAAACCCCGGAAACCTGTGGCCAGACTTCCAGACTTCCAGGAACCCAGACAAGGCCATGGCTGCGAAATCCAAGGCCATGGCTGATCCTGCACAGCGTGGATCCATGCCAGCTCTACAGGTCAAGAGGACACTCACCAAAACAGCTAGAGCCATGGTTTCGCTCCAAACATTTTGAAACTCACCAAAACCGGAAGCGCACCAAACAGGAAGGAGCCGTTCCGAGCGAGCCAACAGCGCCTGGGCCGTCTTTTTCTCACTCCCAGCCTCGAGTTGGGCCCCTTCTCCGCGCGCGCGACGTTGCTGACAAGGTGCAGGAGCCCGAGCCTCGAGTGAAAGGGCCGGTGGTGCAAAATACCCTTGGATCCAGGGGTGCTGAAAGAACCAGGGGTGGTATATACCTGGAATCCAGGGTGGTATATACCCTTCATACAGTGGGGTGGTTCAAAAAACCGTTAGATCCAGGGGACCCTTATACGTGGTACATACCCCAGAGGTCTAAACGGCAGTGAAAAGGGCCGGTAAGAACCCCTCGTACAGTGGGTTGGAAACCAGGGAAGGCAAGGGGTATGTAGTACCGTTGGAAAGGAAGATCTAGGTCGGACATGGAAATGCAGGGACCCTGGGACAGGAGGAGACCCCTTTTTGACACAGCGGAACAAACTACAACCATGCTTGATTTTCACAGCCACATAGCGATGGGTGGTGTTGGCCCATGTTTGTTTCCAACACCCCCCAAAAAATTGGCTGGTATTACGCCCCTGTTTGATTACTAAGGGTTCCATTAAAGAGGGAATCCGGATCGCTTTTGGGAGAAGTTCCCCTCAAGTTCCCTTGGCAGGGAGCTGAAACATCCCCAGCTGTGACAAAAAGTCCAGCCCTGCGTGTGTGTCGAGCGTCATAAACAACACACAAACACAAGGGGCGTGAGAAGGAATCCCCCACCCCCCACCCCGCGGCCGACGATTTGACAAAAAACAAACGCACCAACCATTTGGGTGTGCGTCAAAATCAAACGACCCAACAAACCGCGTGTGTGTTCCTTTCGGGTTCCCTCCGAAACAAGGGTAACGTTTAAACCACAAGCCCATTTGGAGAGGCTCCGCCCAACTGGACTGAGAACACCTTCGGATGCGTCCCTTTTCTTTAGGGCATCCCAAAATGGGCGGTTTCCCTTGAAAACCAGCCCAAACAGGGCAAATCTCGGCCAGAAGCACACCCATACCGGCAAGGTCTGTGTTGTGACCATTTCAGCTGACTGGGTCCTTTTCTATCCAGATGGAAATCAAAAGGTGAACCAGGGACTCGTATGCATCCACAACACTTTAGAATACAATGATGGCTAGTGGCTTTTGGTTGCTTGCAACCTGGGGAGCCTTTCGAAAGTGCTTTTCTGTTGGCAAACCAAGCAAAAGGAAGCCAACCATCGAGGGCCCATATCGTATTTTGGGTACCCCACCAACTAACATGGAAGTGCAAAAAGGCCCTTTCCAAGAGGAAAGTAGTCTTTCTACAGCGGGGGGTAAGTGAAATTGTCGCTGGAGACCCTTTGACGGACATTAGCTTGGACATCATAAACACCAGATGCGTGCCATGGTCAAGACTCCTTGTGGAGGAACCCTCAACAATGGCCTGAGTTTCCTATCAAAGAGCCCACCATCCAGCCCCAAACCAAGTTTCGGCCATGGGCGTCAATGGAGTGCAAGGTGGCGAAAGGCCTCTCCCTTGGCACTGCCTCCAGCGATTTTTTTCGGCCAGGGAGCATATCCTCCAACTCCCAGCCGCTTCCGAACTTCTTCACGACCTCGTGACCGTCTGACCCGGCCGACGTCCGACTTCCGACTTCGCTGGCAGACCGAGGCCTGTACCATGACGAAGGGTTACCTATAAAGCTCAAAGATTGAACACTCAAAAGGTAAGCGTAACCAAGGGAACCATGTAAACACCAATGGGGAAAAGTAAGGGCAACCAACGGAGCCATGTAAAAACCAATAGGAAAATCGAAGGGGTACCTACTCTAGTGGCAAAACGCCTTGTATTTTTTACTGAGTCGAGGAAATCTAGGGCCACACACCTTGAAAAGGTAGAAGGACCTCCCAGCCCGACAAATCGGGAGGGATATAAATTAGCGGGTTGCAACCACAGAAGTCATCCACTGATCCACAGTCCCCACATTTCACCTCAAAGCACACCCAAGAGAAGCTCACTTTCGATTGGTCCAAGGCTAAAGTTTCCGGTGCCTTTTTCCTAGTGACGTGCCTCTTTCAAATCCAGAAGCACCTACTGCATTGGGGGTCCACCAGTCGTTCTTTGCAATCCAGTCGAAGGGCAACCCCGCAACGAGTCGGAACTTTGTTGGGTGTCTTTTGGACACCACGGAACCGAAACCAGCGGTTCCATCGGCCTCGCCTCGACAAACCCAGGTCACAGGTCATTGAGAAGGGATCCACAGAAGCTCAAAGAACCCAAGAGGATGGGTCCACCAAAAAGCTGTAGCCTACGGGGCATTCCCCTCCCACTCTCCCACCCTGAACCGGCCTCCGCTACAACTAGTTCCCACATGGGCAAAGGCGCCATCATCCACAAATTGGAAAGAAGGACACCCCCCAAGCAAAAGACCTTCATGGAGGATTCCCCACCTGAGTCATAATCAAAACCTGGTACAAAAATGGTGAACCCAGAACCATGTAAGGAATTGAAAAGGTGGCCGGAACTATTTCCGGCTGGGACTGCCCCTTACTAACCTTCATCTACCCGCACCTTATTACCATACATGGGGGTGTTCCCTGTCCAGTGGTTCGCCCGGGTCTCCAAAGGCACCTCCAGCAGCTCGCTCATTTGCAGCTTCCCGTTGCTCTCCTTGTCCAGGCGCTCGAACCTTCGATCCGGAGGATCAACATGGCTCGCGTTTTTGGGGCGCTTGGACGGCGGACATTTGTTGATCCCATATTCATGAACCAACCAGTCTATTCATAGGGGGGGTTCTCCTCCAAAAGTGGTCTGATTCCGCACCAAACCCCAAAAAACATGTTCCTGTGAATAAACGGGGCTTGAGTAATGGGGCAATATTCTGCCAATGCCATGACTCGGTGCTTCCTTGAAGCATCAGTGAGAGCTCTGAGCTTGGTTTTGCACAAGACTGGTGTGTGCTGTTCAGGAAGGCTCCGATAACTTTCTACGGTTTCCACCACCCGACCTCGACCCCGAGATCGAGATGTAGGCGTGTGTCAAAATAGGCGGACCCAAAAAAATGCAGCTTTGATTTTGGCTGCCCTTGAAACCACCCCCAACAAGAGCACCCGCCAAAAAAAGACATGTAGGGTGTATCAATGTATATCGCTACTTCATGCCCACAATAACTGTGAGGCTAGTGAGAATCCGCTCAGAAGCTTGGCCACATGTGTCTCTTTCCCTATGGATCCCTTCACAGGGTTCTGAGATTGCCCACTGACGCACTCGAAGGCCTTGCCAACGAAGTCTTCACCAGGGAGGTTTTTGAGTATCCAGTTCCCAAACCCGAACCTAAACCCGCCAATCCGACCTGGTGAAAAAACCTTCGCGCATAGCTACGCTCAACCTGCTATGCGCAAATCGCCTTTGTTCCCAAACCCCATCCGACGACTCGAGCCCAAAGGCCCCAAGCCGACGGGCCATTCCAATTTCGACTCCCTGGGACCCGAACGCCATAAGGTGCGTCCTTTTGGAGACCTTTTGGTGTCCAAATGGTGCCCTTTTTTGGTGCCCGTTTCCGGATTTGCCACGGCCGTGGATACGTGGCAACCAAACAAATGAACCGGAGACTGCTTCGCCAAGTCTGCGACTCGGCCTTTCCCTGAAACCCCGATGACCCCTATGACCCCTATGACCCCTATGACCCCTATGAGTCAAAACGGAGCGCCGGCGCGATCAGAAGCGCCCAAAGCCCGTTGACTCTTGGGTCTACCAAGGTTGCGAAAGGCGTAAGGTGTATATGGCTGTGGCGCAAAAAGCCGGAGACATGAATTGACCAACACCTGCGGTGTGCAAAACCCATCCGATGGTTTCATTTTGAGCCAAACCCATCTGGGTTCCAGGTCCTAGGCCCCCCAGTTGGGGGTTTGGTTGGGGTTTGGTTGGAAGGCTTGCGTTCGTTTGGAGTGGGGGAAGCTGGGAGCCCGGCGTACCAGGCAAAGGGGAAGAAGGAAGGGGGCCAAGGACACTTAGAGCATATGCAGCCAAGCATGAAAAACCCATACCCAAAATGAAACAGGTGGCAAAATGGCCATGGTCAAAAGCCCGTACCCCCAGTGAACATACCAATCCCCACTAAAATAGACGGGTGGTGAATTCACCTACCAACCAAAATGGGATCCCATTGGTTTTGACCCAGCGTCCATGCAACCGGGCGGGTTGGTTGCCAAGCAGCTGCTCCTCGAGTTTCTTGACCTCCTCGTCGGTGTTCAGCACTGCGCTGCTGCTCCGTGAAAGCTTCGACTCCTCCGAGGGCGTGTGGCTCGACCGGAAGGTGGCGGTGGATGGGGTGTGGGCGGTGGTGGGGCGGGCGGGGGGGGTGTGGGGTGAGTTCCCTAAGAGGAAAGCGGTGTGCAAGGGACCCCTAGTGATGTTGAGAACACCGCGATGGTTCCTCCAAACATCATACCAAAAGCAAGCTGGCCTGAAGCAATAGGAAGCTCAGTGTCAAGGCAACTAAGAGACGCCCTTGTCCACATGCCCAAGCGCTGAATGGAGGCTCACTCCCAGACTGGCTCACTTCACCACTGCACTTGATTTCCTAAACATGAGGGTTGCGCTTTGTTTCAAGGGCAAGCTTTTCAGGCTGGTAAAACATATTTAAGAGATGAAGCAGGGAACCCGCGAAGCCCTGAACCATGCGTTGTCGCTGGTTTACTTGCCACACACACTTCGGAATTGAAGGGGTTGAGCAATCACCCCGCTCCCTACAGCCATGAAATTGTGATTTAGCCTGCAAGCACCTACATGAATCTTGTGTGTGTGTGTGTCTGTCTGTCTGTCTGATGGTTATCTGCGTGTGAACCTTGTTTTGCCCCCCGCATTCAGTGGACGGCAAACAAGGGTTCAAAAGCCCAGGGACAAGATCTCAGACTTTCGAGGCAATGACCAGAAAGACATGAAAATCTCAGCAGCTCCCGCCTCCCAAGGAAAGCCAGTATAGGAAACCCCTGTCTAAAAAGGGTCCCTTACCTGAACGGAAGCGCTGCCGCGCCATGCAGCCCTTCAAAGGCACGTGGATCAACATGACCCCAGGAAGCCGATGCAGACATTGGGAGGTTAGGACGGTTCCAACTTCCAGGACAAGCGCAAAAAGACGCCCAAGGGGCATGTGCCCTGTGAATAGAAGCAATTGCCTCTATGAATACCAATGCAAAGAGAAGTGCGTCCTGGGTTCAGCCCTTCGAACCAAGACTGCCTTGCTTCTTGCAACATTTCATCATGTCCCCAGCCTCCAATATTGCGCGCTCCATCATTGTGGTTTTTGTGGTTGCATTCCTTGTTGAAAGGCAAACCAACGGTAAGCAAAGCAAGCGCTTTGCTCTTCAACCATCGGAAACAAATCACTCTGCTGCCAAGAAACAACTCACTCTTGGCCAACTTGGAATGCAAAGTCCACATTTGGCTCCCCCGTTTGGATGGCGCTTTGTTCGCGGACGCCAAGTTGGACCCACATGTCCGACCCGCCCGCCCGGTCCATCATCCCATGATGATGATGATTCAGCACCAGGCTTGGCCGGCTGGTCTGCGACGGCGAAAAAAAGCCGGCCGGAACGCACCCCAGTCACGTCGCCAGTTTGCGGTCAAAAAACATGGTGAGTCCATGTGCATCTCCATTGGAGATCGACAAACTCCGGTGAGCAACGCCCGAAGCCCAGCTGAGGTTTGGTTCCATGGTTCGAAGAATGGCCCTTACTGTCTTTCTAAAACCAGGTAATAGTTTATCACCTACATGGCCCTTTTTGAGGGGTTGGGTCAAGCGGAACCTGGCTAAAGCCCCTTTCACTCCGACCAAGGGATCGGGATCCGGACGTCAGACTGGTCAATAGATAAGCGGCAGGGTTCGTCAAGTGGTGCGAGGACTAGTGCCCCTTTCTGAGCCTTCCAGTTCCGACATTCCGCAAGAGAAACCGCACAGCTGACTTGAGTGTTCCACAAGACACCCCCTGATCAATCTTGATTGAATCCTCCAGGCCACAACCTGTCTGTGTGTGTTCTGTTGGCGGCGCTGAGCAAACAGACCTCTTCTCAAGCAGCCGCCCCAAAGATAAGGCCAAGATTTCGCAACCTTTCCAAAGGCCCGCTCTGATTTGTCGGAGAAGCCTGAGTGTTGCAACAAGAAATGCAAAAACAGAAGAGGAACGGCCACACCGTTGAAAAACCGGCGAACCTTCGGCCAAGTGGCAGCTAGGGCCTTCGAACGCCGGACCAAATCCGAACTCACCAAACGGGTGACTTGGGTGCTTCCCAAAATCGGATTTCCCATGGCACGCCACTTGTGCTTCCTTTTGGTCTCCTAACAAAAAGATCCCGACATCCGGACATCCATGGCACGCGAAATCCTCGAAGGTGTCCTGGAGGACCAAAAAACGGAAAAGGAGCTCCTGTCCTTTTTGGGTTGTTTGGGCGCTCATTTTTCATCGGAGTGTCAGTCACTTTTGGTGCCAACACTGGCCAAAATTTGGCGTATCAGATCAAAGCAATGCCATGGAATGATCGGGGACCGAAGCAACACGGTAACCAGTGCGTGCACACGTCCCGCTAAAACCGTGGCAAGTAACAACGACGTACTTTCCAGAATCAGCATTGCGCTGCCCTGGACAGATCAAGCAAGTACAAATACAAAGCATTAATCAAGCGGGGACCCTTCAGAACAGGCCACAAAAAGTACCCTCCCACCCCTTTTCCAAAGGGACCGAGCCTGTTTCGGGTTCCGTGGTACGTCGGGAAGGTAGGAACAGCTGGTGCCTTGAGTCAGACTGATTCTGATCTGAGATCGCTTGAAGATGTGTGTACACTTATGGCTGGTCAAAAATCGGTACCGATTTGGAACCCTGGTAAATGGAAACAAGAACATTCCATGCGCCCCATGTCCCGGTTTCGATTTTGACCCATATACCTGCACAAGTAGTACAGATCCCCAAATGGAAACGCAGAAGTATCGCTGGGGCTTCTTCTTAAGAGGCCGTTGCCATCCATGGAAGCGCTCCCCGGCGCCCCCTTGGCCTTGAAGGGAACCATGGCCAGCTTCCCCTCCTCCACGCCGCTTTTCTGCTTCATCCTGAGACGCGACCGCACGAAGCTCGGCAAGGAACTGGGCTACTGGGCTGCAGCCAGGGGTGTCATTCATCCCAACCTGGCAAGTCGATGTTCAAAATGGGCCCAGTAAACTTTCATTCATCTTGGCAAATGGAGGTTCGGATGTGCCAGGGTCAAAATGTCATCCGTCATGAGAATGGTCCTACGCATAGGGCCTCGTGGTTGAAAACGATTAAGGAGTCCGCTGCCCGAGCAAGCAGGTCATTTGACCATGGGCCACTTAACTAAGCGGCAGCGAAGAGCTTGAGCTTCCTTGCTGTTTCCCCATTGCGACGACCCGAGATCTCTCGAGCACATTGGACTCGGGCCAGGAAAGGTGGCAAAAGAACACACCAAAATTCAAGGAGGGCTTGAGTGGTTGCATCTGGATCTCTGCACCCCCAAATTGGCAAACTGATCAACCTCACAAACCTTCCGATCTGTTTGAGGTCTTTTCAAACCTTCCGGCGCACAAAAAAAAAACTCGCCTGGCGTCCAGTGATTCCTGATGTGATGTGAGCAGGGGCCCTTTTACTGCAAAAATAACTTCGGTGTGTCGACTCACGAGACCCCTCAAAAATGGTCCCTGCAAAAACCATCCAAAAACCAGCACCCTCCTTTTGTCGCCCCAAAACATGGTGAATCATGGTGGGTGTGCAACGGCTCGCTTTCAAAAGATGTGTTTTTTCTTTTGTATGTTTTTATTTGTTTTAGCTTTCCCATAGGCAGCCCCCGACTTTGGGCGCACCCGGAAAATCACGTCGCTCAATGCCGGCCTTTGACCTCCGTAAGCGCCGGGCAGACTTGGCTTGACGGATGGGCTCGGCACCTCTCAGCCAGGGCTTGGAGAAACGTCTCACGTCACATGATAGGGGGCAATCATAGGGGGCAAAAACGAAAGTTTGGGGGGGGGGGTCCCTTGGTTTTCCGATCCAAGGCAAACCAAGAAAGGCAACCCTCAAAACTCCGCAAGGCCACGGCAAGCAAGGAATACAGAAAAAGAAAAACAGGCATGACGCTGGGCAGAGTGCTCAGAAACTTGGTTGCTGTTGACCCCCTGCAAAAAGTTTAACTTTTTGGGGGTTGAGTGGAAAACACCTTTATTTCCCAAAAAGTTAAAGTCTAAAGATCCAACCCAATAGCAGTCAAGAGAAAGGGCCTGGTTTGTCCAACCCAGAGCCTGCTTTTCACCTCTTAAACATATCTTGCCACTTGGCAGCATAGACGCTGCCAGGGATCCGTCTCGCATGGTGAAACTCAGAGGCAAATTGGGTGCTGAGAAGAACGATGCTTGAAAAGAGTTGGGAACAACCCTTCTGGTCAAGCTGCTCTAACTTCTCATTGCAAAATCCGGGAACTCAGACAATCTTATTTTAGGGTCCATGAAATTGCGCAGACGGCGTACACCGAACGCTTCCACATTCTATGATGGGCTTTTCGCTACCCCAAGAAGGTTAATGGATTCACAACCTAGCAACTCTATACAGGCTATACGCCACGTTTTCCACTGAACCAGTGGTTTGCTTGCAAAAACCCTCCCTTTTGATACATGAACCCTCGCCAATGAGGGGCGCAAAAGATCGAGTGCCTTGAACTTCACCCCCGGAAAGCCTGGGCAACTTGAAGCTGGAGTCCCAATAGATCAAATCTCTCATTTTGCGGTGGTCTTTTTTTTAGCCCGCAGGATGAACAATGACATCTGCCTTCAGAATCGTCGCATTGATCTCGTTTCTGCACCTTCTACCGTCTCTGCCTTCCTCTTTGAGTGACCACAAATCGGCAGTTCAAGAGTATCCTTTCATGTCTCTGCAGCTGTAGGAACCCCAAGCTTCCCTCGCGAATGTCGCTCTTGGACCTCTCGTGTCCTTGATTTCCCGCCGGCACCCTAAGGAAGTCAACCATTCCAAACGAATTCAGTCTTGGGATCTGCGAAATTCCATGGTCGTTTCTTGGGGCACCTGCTTTTCGGGTTCCTTGAAAGGACAACCAAAAGGAAACCACCAAAGGCTGAATGCATGTGCCCATATGTATATGTATATATATATATATATATAT